CAGGCGCGACCTGCGTGGGGGGGGGGCAAAAGATGTCGGTGGGGCTCGTGGACCGGGACTTTCGCGATACTTGGTAAAACGCGCACTGTGCCGATTACTGCCGCGGTCTGGTGGTGACTCTTTGGAGGGGCAAACAGTGCTGGTGGATTTGGTGTAGTGTTCAGGCCGCTATCACGCGGTACCCCGCGTTTCCACTGGGACCCGCGCAGCGGGAGTGCATCCTTGCAGGGGGCGGAGTTCGCGCAGCGTGAGTGAAGGGCCGGGGGGAATGAGGAGGATAAGGAGGAGTAGGATTGGGGGGGTGGGCCGAGAAAACCAAAAACACCTTGCGTGGGGTGCAGGGGGGGGGTCGGGCCAGGGAGAGCCATTCGGGACGATTCCAGCGTCTTCGAAGGCCCTCGACGGGGAGCACCTGCCAGACAAGGATCCAGGGCCAAAGGTATTTGAGAACCTCCACACAGTAGGAGACCTGCGGCGAGCCCCGGGACCTGCCCCCCAACAGGCGCGGGCCCACCCGAACCTGCCTGCCGGCGCGCCCGAGCTTGACCGCCATCCGAGCAACGCAGGCCTCCGAAGTCCCGAGTTTGTCCATGCGTGGTCCCCTGGAGCTTTCGACCCTTTCCAAGGAACTGACTTTACATCCCGAGCCGTTTTTGGGATGGTCCCGGGAACGGCCTCCAGATATTCGGGGGGCGCGATTCACCTCCGTCTTGGACTTTGTTCTGTTCAAAACGTTGGAGGTCAGGGAAATTCGCTTGGTCGGATTTCTGGCCATAGCTCTGGCCTCCGGCAGCCGTTCGGGCAGGTTCCGGCTCCCCCGGCGCGCAGTTTGTCATCCCGGATCCGCTTCTGACGGCCCAGGGGGCCCGAAAACGACCCTGGAGGAATCGAAATCGGCGAGAAACTCCCCAATATCGAAAGTCAGCGAAGATCGCCCTCTTTTTTTCCCAACCATCCTGTGGTGTTGGGTCCTCGTTTTGAAGAGACAGCGCCCCGCGTTCCTTCCTCCTCTCGCTGCCCCCTCCCTCCTCCTCGCATCATCGTCAGCATCATCATCATCATCATCATCATCATCATCATCATCATCATCATCATCATCATCATTATAATAATTATTATTATTATTATTAATTTTATTATTTATGTTTGTATGTATGTATGTATGTATGTATGTATGTATGTATGTATGTATGTATTTTTATCCATTTGTTTGTTTGTTTGTTTGTTTGTTTATTTATTCATTTATTCATTTATTATTATTTTTATTTATTTATTTTTTATTTATTCATTATTCTTATTATCATTACCAGCATCAAAATAATAATCGTAATAATCATAATCGTGATCACCATCATCATCATCACCATCAGCATCATCATCATCATCATCAGCAGCAGCATCATCATCATCATCATCATCATCATCATCATCATCATCGCCATCATCATCATCATCATCATCATCATCATCATCATCATCATCATCATCATCATCATCATCATCATCATAATCATCATCACCGATCTCGGCACCGCCCCATTTTGGTACACCCCATTTTGGCACCTCTCACGAGGATCGTGGCCCCATAGGAGCTCCACCGACGGCGCCAGTCGCATGGCGGCCTCGGGCCATTTCGGCACACTCCTCACGAGGAGCGTGGCCCCATAATTTGGAGCTCCACCGAAGGCGCCAGTAGCAAAGTTCGCATGGCGGCCTCGGGCCATTTCGGCACACCCCTCACGAGGAGCGTGGCCCCATAGGAGCTCCACCGACGGCGCCAGTAGCAAAGTTCGCATGGCGGCCTCGGGCCATTTCGGCACACCCCTCACGAGGATCGTGGCCCCATATGAGCTCCACCGAAGGCGCCAGTAGCAAAGTTCGCATGGCGGCCTTGGGCCATTTCGGCACACCCCTCACGAGGATCGTGGCCCCATAGGGAGCTCCACCGAAGGCGCCAGTAGCAAAGTTCGCATGGCGGCCTCGGGCCATGTCGGCACACCCCTCACGAGGATCGTGGCCCCATAGGAGCTCCACCGAAGGCGCCAGTGGCAAAGTTCGCATGGCGGCCTCGGGCCATTTCGGCACACCCCTCACGAGGATCGTGGCCCATGGGAGCCCCAGTGGCATTGGCCATTTCGGCACACCCCTCACGAGAATCTGGCCCCATAGGGAGCTCCACCGGCGCCAGTAGCAAAGTTCGCATGGCGGCTCGGGCCATTTCGTTCACGAGGATCGTGGCCCCATATGAGCTCCACCGAAGGCGCCAGTAGCAAAGTTCGCATGGCGGCCTCGGGCCATTTCGGCACACCCCTCACGAGGATCGTGGCCCCATAGGGAGCTCCACCGAAGGCACCAGCCGCAGGGTTCGCATGGCGGCCTCGGGCCATTTTGGCTGGCACACCCCTCACGAGGATGGTGACCCCATGGGGGGCTCACCGAAGGCGCCAGTGGCAGGGTTCGCATGGCGGCCTCGGGCCATTTCGGCACACCCCTCACGAGGATCGTGGCCCCATAGGGAGCTCCACCGAAGGCCCCAGTGGCAGGGTTCGCATGACGCCCGCTCGCAGAGGGACGCCGCGGGGGAAATTTTGGAGCCGTGGAGGAGGCTCCTGGGTGGACCTGCCAGGAAGGCGGCGTCGCTCTTCCCGCCTGCCGGAACCGAAGCGGGGGCCAGCGCGGCCGCCGTATTCGGGAGCGCGGCGTTGGTTGTGCATAATGTTTGGTTGCGTCGCGCGAAAGTAAAGAAAACGTAAAGGGTTACTCACAGGCCACAGACACTTTACAGAACGTCGATCGTGGCTCGTAGGCCTGCGAGCCCGCTGGGTCCTGACAGTCCCCCCGCGTGTCCCCCCTCCTGCACGCTCGTAGCAGTTTGGCTCGCGCGCGACGGTCCAGGCGCGGCCCGTAAGCCTGCGCGGGCATTCGCGGTTTCACTTGCGCCCCACAACGATACCGAGGACCAATTTGTGCCAGTGACCTGCTCGAAGCGGCCCCGCGTTTTGCTTTCGGTTGCACCTTGGCGTTCCCAGGGGGACTCTGTCGCCCAGCCAGGTGGCTCTGGTGGTCGCTCATGGCGTTGCCGCCAGGGCATCCGTGCAACCTCCGCAGCGGCCGTGTGTAACATGGCTCGATTTCTTGGCGCAGTCGTTTTTTTTGAAGGCCAGCATGGGCGCCCGTGCTGCAGCTCGGCGTGTCTGGCGAAGGTGGTCAACTGGCGCGTGTGGTGTTGAGCCCGCGACGCTTCTCCGACGAGCCTCTCCTGGCCCAATCGCGCCACCATTTGTCCCCGCTTGCTCGGGCCTGCCTCTATTAGCGGCGGGTTTCAGATTCGCCCTGAAAGCGCGAGGCGATGCAGCGGCGTCACAATGCCGCATCAACATCGCCCACAACAGCGCCACGAACCGCAGCACGGGTGGGGGAGTGCGCCACTCCACGACAGTATAATAGCCCATTCTCCCGATGTCGCGATAGTGCCTTGAGGAGGTACCGTGCGTCTTCGTTGCCTGCGCGAGCGTTTCCCGTCGTTCCTGCGAGCAGGACGGAACGCTGGGCCCATTCCAGCTGCGCCGAGCTTTTCCCAGGCAGACGTTGTTTTTCGGATCGGACCGGGTCTGGCTTGCCCGCGACGCTTCGCGATTGCAGGCTGTGTAGAGCGCGCGGCGGACGGAAATATCTAGGTGTCCCAGGCACTATGCTACATAGTTTTCACCCCCCTAAGACGGAGGAGCAGGAGGAGGAGGAGGAGGAGGAAAAGGAGGAGGAGGAGGAGTATCCAAGGTAACGCTACGATATACAACATGCAGCATCTTGGCATTGTCTTTTGTTGCATGGGAGGTCCCCAGTGGTTCCAGGAGCATCGAGCCTCGAACATCCACCGCCGCTCCTGCTCCCGCCACCAGGCAGGCCACGCGCACACTGACAGTGCACACCGCGCAGTACACACCCGCACACCGACAGTTGGAGATCATCGATCAGCTTCCCGTTGATGAGAAGGGAAAACGCTTGGGAAATTGGCATGCGGATGCCCAGGCCAAGAGAGCTTTCCTCGAACACCCCCAGCCGTCGCCCCATGAGCTCCAGGAGGTGGACGGGACTCTTGCTAAGCTGCAGACCATTGTACGGGTCCTCGGGAAGGTCTTAGCTGTTGTTCCTCAGGAGGTTCGAACGTGGGTCGAGTGCGGGTCCCATGGCCGAGCTTTTAACATTTGGAGGATGGCATGCGTGGCAAAACCTGGAGTTAGGTAGACTGCGTTTGTTGTCACCGCCTCAGTACCGATCCCTTGACCCGCCCCATGCTCGGCTTCCGTGGCATGAATAAGACGTGGCGAACGACACTCGACCTCTCCCTCGGCCACACCCTTGCACACAACAGAGTGCAGCGTGGTGTGGACGAGAAGACGCAGTTTTTGTGTTTTGTGTGCGGTGCATACACATCCAGCCGCTGCCATGTCCTCGGCAAGGAATGCCAGCAACAAAGCTCGCTGCAGTTCGCACCATTTTGAGGAATCTTTGCGACGGTTTGTATCTGCATCATCGTGGTACTTCTGTTGTCACGGCGACCCCTCGGAGAGGGGCCGCTAGCCTTTGTTATGCTGCCACGCTTCCAGCGCCCCCCGAGGTGGCGCAGCGGCAGTCTTTACTGGACGCCCTCCCTCAGAACCAGGGGATGGCGGCGCTTTTGGCACGGATGCAAGCCCGCGAGGCGGCGGCCCAGGCTGCCAGTGCCTCGTCCACAGGCACGCCATAGTCTGCGGTGCAGACATGGTCTGGCCCTGGAGAGAAACATACCAGGCAGGCCTCTGCCGACGCCTTCACCTCCCCCCCACCTCTCCCGCCCTCCCTCCCTCCTTCTCTCCCTCCCTTCCCCCTTCCCTCCCGCACTCCTCCTTTCCTCTCCTCCACCGACGTACCCCACATCTTGAAACACCCCCAGGCCCGCGAGCCGCAGCCCCTACCCAGACCAGGGAACGACTCTCTGCCGGCAGTTCTCCTGGCCGCCT